GTGTGTGTGTGTGTGTGTGTGTGTGTGTGTGTGTGTGTGTAGCTTTTGAATATGAACAAAATTAAGAAGTTCTGTCCTGATATTTCCCAGGTTTCCTACCTGGATAAGTGAACACTGGCTGTCTTCCCAAGAAAGAGAAGGTACACTCTGACCTTCTCTCCTTGCCTTAGAATTTCTCTAGAAATTTCCAAATGGCAATTTGAACTGAATTTGAAAGGGGATGTCAGTAAAGTGAGCCCTCCTCTCCACATCTAGCCCTACCTCTGTCCCTCTCAGCCAAGGTCCTGAAGAAATCTAAAAGCTAGCAGGAGAGCATGGGCAGGGAGCTGGCCCAAGGACATAGCCATTTAACGTGAGATGGTCAATTCCTACTGAAAGCAAATAAGCCCTTTCTCATCAGTTCGGTGATCTGCTCATGGAATACAGTGCATAGTGGGTAAGGAGCTCCAGGATGCCCACTTTATTGCAGGTATTCACAGGGAGACTGGGTAATACACAAATGGGCCTTGGCATTGCTACAGAATTGGACTGGAAACTCAAAGCAATTCTTTCTTGTGTGTGTGTGTGTGTGTGTGTGTGTGTGTGTGTGTGTGTCCACCCATGGCCTTGTGTGCACATGTGGGTATCATAGGTGTCTTGAACATTCTGGGCCCAGGTTCAGACCACATAGACAAGGACTTGGAGCACAGCTAATGGGACCTCAGGTTATAGGATTGGGGCTATCCCAGGAGGCACCAAGCAAGAGGGTTGCAGCAGGAGACTCAACTTCACAAGCCTTCTCCTTGCAATTTTTCTGACCCTGCCAACCATTGGCCTAACCCCTTCCCAGTGACCTAGCCAGGACCACTTGGAGATGAGACGCATGTTGCCCTTTCCCAGCCAGCAAAGGGCCAACCCACAAAGTCCCACCTGTGGTGGCCACCACATGGTGCTTCAGCCCCTTCTCCTAGACTTTGTGCCCTCAAAGAGACACAGTGATCACCACAAGCCAGCCAGCCACTGCCCAGGCAATCCAAAGGCGCCATTCCAAAAGGGCTGTTTTTTTTCCTGTTAAATAAAATAATGAACATAGTTAAGATTTTCAAAGGTCTCTGCCCACAAAATTAATCCAGAAGAATCAAAAAGGCCAAGGTAGCTGTAATTCTGCTTTACAAGAAGCAAAGCTCCGGCTGCTCCCACCTCCACCCCAAAGGGCCTGCCCTCCTGCTCTCCACCACCACTCAGCACAGAGCTGGTGAGCTCTCCCTCACTGGTTGTGGAGGAGATGAGTGAACTTCTGAGTGAGCCCAAGCCCAGGTGGTCTCAGTGGTTTTGAACAGCAAGGTAGACCAGTAGGCCAGGGTTGGCCGAACCACTTTCTTCTAAAACTAAATCAGAAATCAGTTTCCAAAATCTCAGCCCACAGAGGCATTGCCCAAGACACTCAGCTGCAGTTAGGGGAGATGTGGGGGATCCCCAATTCTGTCCCACTTAGATGTGCTCCAAGCCACACACAGAGCTCAGACACTTTCTGCCTCCCTAAGTGAAGTTCTGTCTGGATAGACAGGGTTGTACTTAAGAGGCCCCAAGGGTCCAGCTCAACTGCACAGCTCCCAGCCTTTGGGCTCCTTCAAGGTTTGAGACATCTGAGACTGGGAGGCACCCAAGAGTCAGATGTGGTTACAGATAGTGCAGGGAGCTGTCTTCTTTCTCTAGGCCCATTTGGCTTGGGTCTAAGCTAAAGAGCAGGAAGCCCCCTTTTCTACACCAGAAACTCATGGCCATCTGTCAGTGTGCTGTTGGCGCACAGCGACCATCCAGCCTGTGTTTGGGGCAACGTGAATGTGTGAGTGAAAAGCAGATGGGTGTATGGTGAAGGGGCCATTGCTGGAGTCTCAGCTGGGGATATTGCTAATTGGGAAAAAGAGGGTGGGGGTACCTTCTCTCTGAGCTGCCGCCACTAATACCATGTCTTCTATGATCATGTTTGGAGTCACAGTAATGCCCAATGTTGGTAGCCCCAAACTGATAGGGGCCATGGTCTACTCAGCGCCTCCTGTACTGAGGCTGGTCAGCACCTGCTGTCTTCCTCTTGTTCTGCTTCAGTTCACAGGGAGGTCACACGGAGACCATAGTAGCTATCCAGTAGTTCAAGCCAAGGGTCCAGGGTAGAGGAGGTCTGGGACTTGACTAGGGCAGGAACATGGGAGCCAGTGTCTGTAACCAGATCTCATTTCCTGAGTTGTAAGAACCAATGCTCTCGCCTTTTAACTGAGCCGAAAAGGCCCCCTTACAATGACAAGCACGCCAATGCCATCAACTCAGACCCTCTGCCCCTCCCAGGATCCCACAGCATAAGGCTGGGGTTCCTCTGCCAGCAAAGCCATTCTGATTGCCCCACCCTTCAAAGGGGCCAAACCAATCATATTAGCCATAATCCACCAGGGTCCTCAGCCACTTTTCTTCGGGTTGTGTTCATGGGTCCTGTTCAACCTTCATCCGTGGAAGGCTCTAGTCCTTCCTGTACATGTGACAATGCACATTGGTGTGCATGTGCTCATACGTGCACTTTAGTGTACACACAAGGAAACCAACCAAACCCCAGTGTTGTCTTCTGCATGTGGTGAGATGGACTTGTGACCCTTGTGTGACCTCCGGCTGCTGTCCTGTCTTATAAAAAACGTTCACATGTTTAAGAATTTCCAAGCAAATGGTCCCTTAATGAAGTCTGCAGCGTTCAATAAAAGATCCGGAGAAAACAAGCCTGGCAGTGTTTGGCTTATTTCTGGGAGAGGGAGGAGGCTTGGGTGTCAGAAAGGATGAATCTGGAAGTCTTAGGACCTGGAAGGGCCACGCTGCTAGCTCCACTTTCCCTGGACGAGCGAGTCCATGAAAATGTTACCAGCTTACCACCCTCAATACATCTTGGGCTGTGTCCATGAATCAAAACCCAGAGCTGGTCATGTGGCTGTCATGTCTACTCTACCTAGTACTCCTTTCCCATAAAAAAAAGTCTCACCACAGATGAGGCAAGGTGGTGTGTGCCTGTCATCCCAGCACTCCTGGGAGTGGAAACCAGAGTATAAGAGCTCCAGGCGACTTTGCTCCAGGAGACTCAGTCCCCCAAAGCCCAAAACAAAACAAAAGACAAAGAAGGTAGCAGCTTATAACCCACAGGGCCAAGAGGTTGGGTGCAAAGTAACCTAAATTCCAGGACTAAGGGAAGCAGTGGG